GGTTGGGCGGGTTTATTCGATTTTTTTGAGTTAACCCATAACCCGACCCGACCCGACCCCTATACATAGCCAACCTAGCCAACCTGTGTAAAAACAACAAAAAAATCGACCCAACCCGGTCGGGTTGGTTCAGATTGGGCGGATTCGGTCGAGTTTTGCCCACTCATAGATCCAGTACAAGTGGCCTTCGAGGCTCGCCGAGTGCTGGGTCCACCACTGTTTATTGATCATTTACCGATGGAAGATTAGTAGCTGCAGTGGTGGGTGCTATTGGATAAATTAGTTCATGAATTATATTCCGTTAATAAAAAATACATGCATGCAACTTGCCGAATCATAGTACATACATAATAATGAATAAATCACTACTTAAGCATAGAAAATGCAGAAATTAAAGGACGTAAAATCAAGCGAAATATGTGAATGCAAATCTTTTTAAGACGGATTTCGTCCCCTGCTTTGATGCTAACATGATCAAATGAACGTTCGTCTTTCAAGATAAAAAACTTTTTCCAAAATTAATATAGTACACCATTAGTTTTGCTGGTTGAACCAAAGTATAGACATGATTCTTCTTGAATGGAATAGTACATACATAATAATGAACAAATCACTACTTAAACATAGAAAATGCATAAATCAAAGGAGGTAAAATGAAGCGAGATATGTGAATGCAAATCTCTTTAAGACGAATTTTGTCCCCTGCTCTGATGCTAACATGATCAAATAAACGTTTGTCTTTCAAGATAAAACGCTTCTTCCAAAATTAATATAGTACACCATTAATTTTGCTGGTTGAACCAAAGTATATACAAGATTCTTCTTGAATGGAATAGACATTAAAAATTCGAACGAAATTTTATTTTTGAAAATAATTCGAACGGAATATTTTCCAGCGAAATAAAAGGAATGAAATTTTTGAAAAGACGAGAGAATTAGAAATCAATAATAACTTAAATTGATTTGGTATAGGAAAGAATAGAACGAAATGTCTGTATTTATAGATTTTCAAGTGACTTGTTGAAATGTTGCATTTCTTCACATTAAATGATGTGGTATACACATTTTCATTGAAAAATTGCATTTCTTAGCATAGATTAATGGTGTAGTATATACATTTTCATCATACACCTTTTAAATAGTCACACTCATTCTAAGCGACTTGACTCTTTACAATTGAAGAGAAGTCTATTGGAGACATTCCAATTCACACTATAAATAATTCCAATTATTCTGACAGGAGCCAGGGCGGAGCCGCCAAGAATTTGGTGGAGTGTGGCAATGTGAAGGTTGAAGGGAGCATGGTAAGGACTGGGCTAGGTGCTTTCAGCAGGATGTGCATAATCCATAGGAGAACTGGATGAACATAGGCTATAATAATATCATTTATTTAAATATGTTTTATAATTTTAAATCAGTGATATGTAATATTGATGTTATTATTAATTAGTTTATGTTATTTACGATTTCTCGTGTCATGCTCGATGTGTCGCACTAGAATTACTTATCTTTGTTAAAAGTAGTGTTCTATAATGCCTGTCTAGGTGAAAGTTTGGATGATAGAATGAACACGGGGCGAGATCGGGTGCACGAAAACTAGATGATTTCATAAAAGTTAGAAAAGAAGGTTACAAGAAAAAGAAAAAAGATAAAAAGGTGAACTCCCAAATTGCCAGAATAACTATAAATCATGTTATATTTGGATAAATCTCAAAAATTCAATCTTTGTGCTTTCCAATTATCTCAATAACACCCTTAGCCGATGTTTGGTTTTTCCTAAAAATAGCTAATTATCAGAATTTGGTACTTTGCAACACACATTTTTTTAATAAAATATTTGTGCCAAACGAATTTGTCCGTTGTAGAATCTGACAGTCGATAAAAAAAAAAATGAATTCACTTTATTTCTAAAAAATTAAATAGCTACTTCATTCCTCGTCATAAATCATCATTGCTGAAAAACTTATACAAAGGGCCCCACATATACGCTAAATATCAACCGTACACGTTTTCATGTCCTCAATTGGGTCCCACATAAAATAGACCTTTTGTCTACCATTCTTGTGGAAGAAAAACAACGTTATCGTTACGGAATCTAAATAGAGTTCAAATTTCAATTTGTCTTTCCATACATAGACATTTCGAAACCTGTATTCATGTCGGAAATAAACGGAGATGATAGGCAGACTCCATTATTGCAGACAAGCTTTTCTTCTGATGAACGGACGATCAATCATTCCCTTAAAAAAGGTATTTCCCTTTCGTCAGTCAATTTCCTTTATTTTATTCCATCGAGTATTGAGAGCGTCAAGTCAAAGTCCCATTTATCAACCTCTTTGCCGAAGGAGGCTGTCAAGATTGTAGCTTATTCTGATACTGATTCCATTCTATTCCTTTTCTGAGTACTGAGAGCATGCTGGTTGAAATATTTTTTAACAGTCACGTCCCTTTGTTTAACCTTTTAGATGGAAATATTTTTATTAATTTAAATGTAGTTCCGAACGTTCTATTTATGTGCAAATTGGATTTATTTTTTCATCAAAGGCGTGAAAACGTGCAAGTTAAGTGTTTCTTTCTGGATTCTTCAACCATCTGCTTTTATTTTTATCGATCAAGACGCAGATTTTAATGTTGAAGCAACATCACCTTTGAGAAAAAACTAATCTGTCATGGTTTATGTCAATTTTGTCCAAAAAGAAATTGGGAACAGAGCTTTGTTTTGTTGAATATGGGAAGAACAAACTGAGCGGAGAAAAGGGGTTCGTTTGATTGTGGATATATTGAGAATTAGGCCTAGTTTATCGTTTGTATTATTTAACTTGTGTGTTCCTACATATGAGAAATCAGGGAATGTGTGGACGGCTTTGGCACATATAATAACAGCAGTAATAGGTTCTGGTGTACTATCATTAGCATGGAGCATGTCACGGCTCGGGTGGATCGCAGCTCCACTGACCATGTTGGCATTTGCATTAGTCACCCTTACTTCTATATTTTGTATGTGGAATTGCTACAAATCTCCCGATCCCGACTACGGTCCTGTGAGAAATGGCTCCTACTTAGATGCTGTTCGGGCAATTCTAGGTAAGATTGTCTGATTTGAATTATAAACTAGTGGCTCAGGATATACGTTGCTCGAATGCTGTAAGTGAAATCGAACTCAATAGATAAAATTGTGTTTCGTCCATTTTGTTTCTTATTTATCAATCTATTGCTACTAAAGTCTAAAAGACAGAATTTGTTAGAACTAAATTACAATTTGTGGAGAAATTGTCTGTTCCTTTGTGGCCTTAGAAAGTAAATATTATGTTATATTTTGTCTTAGGTAAAAGGAATGCTTGGGTGTGTGGCATTATCGTACAACTAAATTTCATCAAGATAGGCATTGTCTATACAATTACATCCTCCATCAGCATGAGGTATGTTGATGAGCTCCTTCCGTGCTCTTCCCCAACCCACAACCCCGACCCCCGAAAAATTAATAAATAAATAGAGTTCAAGAATGAGATTTTAAGCCTACATATGTTTCATTTTACTGTTAATTAACATCTTACCAATCAAACAGCTAGGTCCATTGAGCAATCTGTGCATGACAAAATGATCAAAAGTGACTACGAGACGCCTTGATGTTAAGATTTGGGGTTCCATCTTAAAATATCAACCTAATTAAAAGGAATAGCCAAAACTCTTATAAATTGATCTATGTTTTTCATCTTTATTCGATGTGAGATTCTATCATTTAATATGGCCCTACAAGATGGTGACTCGTTTGAGCAGACCAATCTTAAAATCCATGTGCTAAATTTTTTTTTTTATAATCGGATCGGATCGCTCGTTGGAGCTTAACGGGCTCTGATATCATGTTAAGATTTGGGGTTCCATCTTAAAATATCAACCCTATTAAGAAGAGTAACCCAAACTCTTATAAATTGGTATATATTTTTCATCTTTATTCGATATGAGATTATATCCCTTAATACTTGAGTAATTTACAAATATTTCATTTTAGGTAGTGCATAGTACAGAATCTACAGATGGAGAGTTTCTATTCTTTATAGACAAAGAAATAGAATCTTTTGTATTGAAGAGTAAGTGTGATGATGATATGCGAAAATTTGGATATTGCCAGAAGTGAATTTCTTCGTCTTTCCAATGACTTGGAAAAAGGGCAGGGACTCTCCCCCATTCGCCCTTCGACGCCCAAGCAAGTATCATCCTCGTGGAAAAGAGAGAGAATGTTTCTCATTGTCTATAGAGAATAAGAAAAAGACCCTTTTTCGTACCCGTGACCTTTTATTTGGTTTAAAATGTCACGTTTGTCTTAACATGTTATGCACCAATGTTGTCATTAATTGTGCTTTTCAACATGCTAACATCTTTGCTCTTCGATGTTATTCTTTCAATTGGTGTAGAGCGATTCAGAGATCAAATTGTTACCATATTGAAGGGCATAAAGCTTCTTGTAACCATGGGATTACTTATTACACGCTTGCATTTGGAATTATCCAAGCCATCGTGTCTCAAATACCTGATTTTCAGAATACTGAGTGGCTCTCTATTGTTGCGGCAGTCATGTCCTTTTCGTACTCTATTATTGGATCAGTACTTGGCTTGGCAAAAGTAATAGGTAAGTCGGGAATATCAAAAGCACGACTAGAACTTGTTATGAAGTACAAAATTCTTCGATTTTTTTCTAATCGCTTAAGCTTATTTTATAGAAAATGGAGAGATAAAAGGTAGCATTGGAGGAGTACCAACTTCCACTACTGCGGAAAAAGTATGGACAATTTCTCAAGCGCTTGGCGACATTGCCTTTGCGTTCCCATTCTCTCTTATTTTCTTAGAGATACAGGTCTGAAAATTTACTTTTGTACCAAGAACATCAATGGTAATTTTCAAACAAAGTTAAGCAATAGTAATAACAAACGGTTGGATTTCATAACACGTGAAGGATACTCTAAGGTCGAATCCCCTTGAAAGGGTCATCATGAAGAAGGCATCAATTATGGCTGTCTGCATCACAACTTTCTTCTACTTATGTTGTGGAGGGCTTGGGTATGCAGCTTTTGGGAATTCGACCCCCGGAAACCTTTTGACCGGTTTTGGTTTTTACGAGCCATACTGGCTTGTCGATTTTGCTAATGCTTGCGTCGTTCTTCATCTTGTTGGAGGATATCAGGTATTCGATTTTTCGGCGATCTTTTATGCAATTATCATTCAACAATGTTACCTCCTTTTCTTCTTGTTAGTATTATGAGCATGCTTGGCTAAGACTTAAAGAGAAAAAAAATAGTTTCTGCGTAAGTTTTTGTACCAGAAAAAGGTAATTGAAAGTCACTTTTTAACTTAGCCAGACATGCATAATTTTTTTTGAGTAATACTTTAACCTTTCTTCCAAATATGTATCAATAGGTATACACTCAACCACTCTTTGCGAATACTGAAAGATGGATTCTAACGAAGTTTCCCGACCGAAAAATATTGCATGAAGATTATGCTCCGAAACCGATACCACTTCTGAGACTAAATATTTTGAGGCTATGTTTCCGAACTTCTTATGTTGCATTAACCACGGGATTTGGCATTCTTTTCCCGTATTTTAACCAAGTAGTCGGGGTGGCCGGAGCGATCAACTTCTGGCCTATTGTTGTATATTTCCCTGTGGAAATGTACTTGGTGCAGAAAAATATTGGACCTCTAACAAAGAAGTCGATAATTCTTCGACTATATTGTTTTATTACATTGATCGTGATACTATACGCCTTTGTTGGCTCAGTTATGGGTTTGATAACAGCAAGATTGAGCTGAGGATTACTTATTTTTACATTCTGATTATGGGTTAAATCCAAATTGTTCATGTCAAAATGAGAGTTTTTGAGGTGATACAGGGGAACTGAAATATGCAGCATAGTAGAGTAAACCTTCATTTTGAAACATATGTTCACATGATGAAATTGGGATCAGATCAGGCCCATTAATTATTACCTAATGGGCCTCAAAATAGGGGTATCGAACTGGTTTGGGGCCTCGGTAAAATTGCTATGTTGGGCCTGGCTACTGAGGCCCAATGTCTAGATGGCCAGCTTAGAATGCTTTTAAAAGGAATTGACATAAATAGCACCGAATGAGGTTAAGAATTATTTTTGATGTTCATCACTTTTTAACCCTACATTCTCGAAAATAATTATTTTTCGAACAATCACTTTCACACAAGCAAGTACTTTAGAATAGTAATCAATAATGGAGGCCGTTCCTTCTAACAATAAATTTGACAAATAATCACATATAAACTTAAGCTAAATTAATTGTCTACGCCTGTTAAAATCTTTACTGAGATGTATTTTGATGTGAGCATATGTAATAT